GTTGTCAAAATTTTCTGTGGGGTAATTCCTATTATGTTGGCATCACTCTGTTTTTCACTATATTACTGCCCAGCAGTGAAGCTGGTATTACAATTGTCGGCATAGGCTAGTTCATGGAAGAATAAAGAACTTATTTTTTCTTGGTAAGAGATGATTTAAACAATAGGATTACAACATTTACTTCTCCTTGAAAATGTTGATACAATATTTGCATAAAATGTAGCAAAAACACACACTTTGAGTCTTATTACAAGATCTCTTACTACTATGCAGGGGTCCAGTTGACTACTGTATAAAGAGTGATCAGTATGTTAAAGCATGGGTAGAAGAAATGCAGTCTGTGTACTATGTAACATTTGGAAGTAAAATAATTTATTTTGCATAAATGTCAAAACCTGATTTTTCTCATTAAAATACAGCTGCTTCCAGGATAAAAATTCATGTGTACATCTTGGACTTACAGAATCATAACGGTCAGAGGAAATCTTAGAGGGCATCCAGTTAAACATTTCCCTAAGGCATATGGTACTTCTTTATCATTCCTGACTAATTATCCTTCATTTATTTCTATTTGAATGCTTCTGGTGAGCCATATCCAGTTCCATCTCATCATTCCATTGATGGGCCGCTCTAAACTGTCTTTTAAAATATCTTTCTTATTCTCAATGGCCTTCTCTGAAACAGCAGAGCATGAATCTCTTCCCACTTCTATGTGATTATATGTTAAATATTTAGGTGTTATTATGCTTGTACTGAGGCTTTTCTAGGCTAAATATTATCAAATGTTTCAGTAATCCTTGACTGAAATGGTTTCCTGTCCCATTACTATGCTGATGAACTTCCTCTGGACACACTTCTGCTTTTCAATGTCCTTAAGAAAATGGATACAAATGTGTTATGACTATTCCAGAGAACATAGTCCAGTAAATAACCTTGAATGAACTGGATATTATGCATTTTCTGATGAAAGGAATAGGACATTAGCTGTGTCACATGAAATTATCTTGTTTAATGGCCTAGGGAAGGCTTCTCAAACCCAAACATGGCTTTTCAAAGGGTCTATATTTCAATCACTAAAGACTTTATTTATTCTTTTGACCAAGAAAGATTTTTATTCATGTTAAAATGTTTAATCTTTTTCCTTCAAGACATTTATAGAGTCCTCTAGTAAAATATAAGTCAATTGGTATGGGTAATATCTTAAAATTTTTCAGCTGACACTTATTCAGAATTAATTTACAACTGGATTGAGACAAAGAGAGAAGAAAAGGGAGTAAGATAGCGCATAAAAATAAGAGATATCAATAATACCATTCCCATGAAGACACTAAGAAGGAACTGGGAAGATACCAAAGAATAAATTTGCCCACCACACAACGTTCATGGCTTTTAATGCATTGTTTTGTATTTTCTGACCCTTAGGTAATGTATGCACTTGTAAGTTACTTTATATTTCAAACTCAGAAGAAAACTACAAAGGGTCTAAAAAAGATAGCTGGAGAGCAAGATATAGTGAAAGCTACATAATCTGTGGCATCACATCTGAAATATAGACCTGCCTCCGCTACTATACATTTCCCCCTTTTTATTTTTTAAAATGCCACACTTAGAGACGAGATGGCAGCCCAAGATAGTGGCATGGGAAGATCCTGAACTCATCTACTTCCACAGAAAAACTGAATCTACAGCTACATATGGAACCATTCCCTCTAGAGCAGACCTGAAAACTAGCTTAAACGCTAATGCTAACAGGGCCAGATCAAGATGGATAGGAGAGGCAAAGACAAGTTCTTGCCCAAAAACCGCTGGCACGACAACTACAATTGGGAGAGCTGACACAAATCTGGAACTCCTCTATAAACAGCAAGGGGTTTGTGCTTCACATCAGGCACCATAACCCTGTGACCTACACTGGAGAGATACACTGAAATGTCTGGCTTTAAAAACCAATGGGACTTATGTCCAAGAGATACACGAGGCTGTGGGGAACACAGATACTGCTCTTAAATGGCTCATGTACAGATTCGCTCACCCTGGGGGCCAGCACAAAAGCATCAGTGACAAATGCCTAGACTCTACGTGACGTGGATTCATGTTTTAATCTGAAAGCATCTGCTGGAGAGATAGGGGACTGTTGGGACGCTCTTTGGGGATGAAGGTACGGGTGGGTGTCACTTTTGTGTCACTGCTGATACTGAGAGGTCTGTACAGTCCGCTCTCCTACCACCTCACGAGAGCCAGTGGGTATGCCCTGGCCCAGTGCTCTTTCTCTCTCCCTTGCTAACACTGGCAGGTACACCCCGGTCCGACACTCCCCCACTGCTCCACTAAACCCAGCAGGCATGTCTTGGCCCTGTTCTCTCTCTCTGCCCTACTAAAGCTGGCAGGTATGTCTTAGCCCTGCACTCTCTCGTGTCTTGCTGAAGCCAGGGGGTGTGCCCTAGCACTGTGATCTCTGGGTGTCTTGCTAAAGCCAGCAGGTACATGAAGTCCACACAGGGGTGCTCCTTGATTGTTTGGCTCTGGTGATCAAGGGGCATGCATTCCTGGGTCTCCTGGGACTGTAAGAACCAGAGAGAAAGCTCTCGCCAGGCTACCATCCCTGGGGCACTGAACAGACAGCAGACTCCCAGTCTTTCCACAAAAAAAGGCCTATTTACCTGTCCTGAAGCTTCAACAGGCTTTAGGGGTACCACACATCTAGAGGCTATGGAGGTATCCTCAAAAAACACAGGCCAGGGGGTGACATGTTTGTGCTCAACCTCAGACTTACTACAGCGCAGCAGTACCTCCCAGAAAGGAGCTTATAAACTTGACTGAAGTCCCAGTTTTTACAAGTATTGCCCAAGGTACATCTCCAGACCACCTATTTGGAGATGTGCAGCATTTACAATTATAGTCCCATACAAATATAATTATTTGCAAACTTTAAGGCCTGCTGCCTGAGGGACTGGCTTCCAATAAATGTGAAACAAGGGGCTGAATAAGATGCCTCCATTTGGAACACTGGCAGGTCTTGGCACACCCTCAACAACTAGAATCTATAAAGAAGAAATCAGGCTTCATAGACAATTACAAAGATTTTGGAGACAACAAAGAGTAAGGACAAGTTTAAATGATAAATTTTATCTCCTGTACATGGCTATTCCTTCAAGAACAGGAGGGGTAACTATTTTACCTACTACATAGAAGAAAACACAGAGAGTCAAGAAAAATAAGGAAACAGAGGAATATGTTTCAAAAATATGAAGATAAAACATCAGAAAAAAAATCTTAATGAAATAGAGTAAATAATTTACCTGACAGAGATAAAATTAATGGTCATAAAGATGCTCCCTGAACTTTGGAGAAGAATGGATGAACACAGTGAGAATTCAACAAAGAAAATATTAGAAAGTACCAAACAGAAACCACAGAGATGAAGAATATAATAACTTAACTAAAAAAATATACTAGAAGGGTTCATCAGCAGACTAGATGAAGCAAAAGAAATGATCACCAAGCTAGACACAGGGCAATAGAACTTACTCGAGTGGAGCAGCAAAAAGAAAAAAGAATTTTTAAAAAATGAAGATAGCTTAAAGCACCTATGGGAAAACATCAATGAATTAACATTTGCAAGATCTGTCATTAGGGTCCCAGAAAGAGAATAGAGAAAAAACGGGACAGAAAACTTATTTAAAGAAATAATAGCTAAAATATTCCCTAAGTTGGGGAAGGAAACAGACATCCAGATCCAAGAAGCCCAGAGAATTCAAAGTAAGATAAACTCCAAGTGATCTACACAAAGAGACATAATTAAAAAGTTATGGGGTGCCTGGGTAGCTCAGTCGGTTGAGTGTCTGACTTTGGCTCAGGTCATGATCTCATGGTTTGTGGGTTCAAGCCCCACATCAGTCTCTGTGCTGACAGCTCAGAGCCTGGTGCCTGCTTTGGATTCTGTCTCTCTCTCTCTGCCCCTCCCCTGCTCATGCTCTGTCTCTCAAAAATAAATAAACGTTAAAATGTTTTTTCAAAAGTTAAGGGGTACCTGGGTGGTACAGTTGGTTAAGTGTCCAACTCTTGATCTCAGCTCAGGTCATGACATCACAGTTCATGAGTTTGACCCCTCATTGGGTTCTGCACTGATGGAGTGGAGTCAGCTTGGGATTTTCTCTCTCCCTCTTTCTCTGCCTCTCCCCTGCTTGTGGTCTCTCTCCCTGTCTCTCTGTGTCTCTCTCAAAATAAATAAGTAAACTTAAAGAAATTTAAGTTAAAAGTTAAGGGGCGCCTGGGTGGCGCAGTCGGTTAACCGTCCGACTTCAGCCAGGTCACGATCTCGCGGTCCTGGAGTTCGAGCCCCGCGTCAGGCTCTGGGCTGATGGCTCAGAGCCTGGAGCCTGTTTCCGATTCTGTGTCTCCCTCTCTCTCTGCCCCTCCCCTGTTCATGCTCTGTCTCTCTCTGTCCCAAAAATAAATAAATGTTGAAAAAAAAAAATTAAAAAAAAAAAAAGTTAAATATGAAAAGCTTAAAAGCAGTAAGAGAAAAACAACTTGTTACATACAAAGAAACCTCCATAAGACTATCAGGTGATTTTTCAGTAGAAACTTATCAGGCCATATGGGAGTAGCATGATACACAGTGTTTAAAGGAAAAGCTCCCAACCAAGAATAGTCTACTCAGCAAGGCTATCATTCATAATTGAAGGAGAGTTAAAGAGTTTTCTGAAGAAGCAAAAGCTAAAGGAATTTATCATCACTAAACCCAGCCTTATAGGAAATGTTAAAGAGACTTCTTTATGCTCTAAAAAATGGGCACTAATTAGTAATAAGAAAACATATGAAAGTATAATTCTCACTGGTAAAGGTAAATATGTAGTAAAGGCAGTGGACTAACCATTTATAAAACTAGGATGACAGTTAAAAGACAAAAGTAATAAAATAACTATACAATAATTAGTTAAGGGACATATAAAATAAAAAGATGTAAAATAGGACACAAAATATAAAACATGGTGGGAAGAGTAAAAATGTAGTATTTTAGATTGTGCTCAAATTAAGTTGCTATCAACTTAAAATACACTATTATATATATATATACAGGTTCTTATATGTGACCCTCATAGTAACTACAGTGTAACAACCAATAGTAGACAAAGAAAAGATAATGAGAAAGAAATCTAAGCATAATACGAACGAGTGTCATCAAACCACAAGAGAAGAGAGCAAGAGAAGAAGGAACAGAAAGGAACTACAAAAGAGCCAGAACACAATAGACAAAATAGCAGAAGTACTAACCTATGTAGAATTACTTTAAATGTAAGTGAAATAATTCTTTAATCAAAAGACATAAAGCGGCTGAATGGATTTTAACAAGACCTATCAATATGCTGCCTACAAGAGACTCACTTCAGATGTAAAGATACATATCAACTGAAGACGAAGGGATGGAAAAAGCTGTTTTGTGCAAATGGAAACCAAAAGAAAGCTGGGACAGCTCTACTTACGTCAGAGGAAATAGACTTTAAAACAAAGACTATAGTAAGAGACAAATATGGGTGTTACATACGGATAAAAGGGTCAATCCAACAAGAGGATAAAACATTTGTAAATATGCACCCAACATAGAAGCACCTAACTATAGAAAGCAAATATTAATAGAACTAAAAGAAGAAATTTATAGTAATACAATAACAGTAGGGGACTCTAATGACACACTTACATCAATAGATAATCTAGTCAGAAAATCAATAAGGAAACATTGGCCTTAAAGGGCACATTAGACCAGATGGACTTAGGATAGATCATGTTAGGTCAAGAACAAGTCACAATAAACTCAACTAGAATGAAATTGTATCAAGCATCTTTTGTGACCACAATGATATGAAACTGGAAATTAATTATAAGAAGAATATTGGGAAAAAACACAAACATACAGAGACTAAACAATATGCCACTAAATAATCAATAGGTCAACAAAGAAAAAGGGAAATAAAAATAATATTTTGAGACAAATGAAAATAGAAACACAGCTTTCCAAAATCTATAAGATGTAGCAAGAGCAGTTATAAGATGTAAATTCATAGTGATACAGGCCTACCATAAGAAATAAGAAAAATCTCAAATAAACAATCTAATGTCACATCCGTAGGAACTAGGAAAAGAAGAACAAACTAAGTCAAGTCAGTAGAAGAGAGAAAATAGTAAAGATCAAGCAGAAATAAATGAAAATGATTAATAAAACAACAGAAAAGATCAATAAAACCAGGAGCTGGTTTTTTGAAAAGATAAACAAAATTGGTAAACTTTTAGCCACACTTACATGGAAAAAAGAGAGGAGTCAAATAAATAACATCAGAAATGAAAGAGGAGTAGTAGCAATCAACACCACAGAAATACAAAGAATTATGATACTGCAAAAAACTATATGCCAACAAACTGGACAACCTAGGAGAAATAAATTCTTAGAAACATAAAATCTTCTGAAATTGAGTCAAGAAGAAGTAGACAATCTGAACAAGTCAATTACTAGTAATGAAATTGAATCAAAGACTTAATATCTATTCTTCTCAAACTTCCAAAAAATATAAGAGAAATGAAAACTTGCAAATTAATTCTATGTGTGCAGCATTATTCTGATACAAAACCAGGCAAAGACACTACAGAAAAAAATTTTTTTAAAGGAAAAGAAAAAAAAATAAAACTATAGGCCAACATTCCTGATGAACATAAATGTAAAAATCCTGAACAGTATATTAGCAAACTGAATTCAACAATAAAAATAAAAAGATGATTCACTATAATCAAATGGGTTTTATCCCAGGGATGCAAGGGTGGTCCAATATCCATAAATCAATGAATGCCATACATCACATTGACAAAATGAAGGTTAAAAACCATATGATCATCTCAATAAATGCAGAGAAAACATTTGACAAGTTCATCTGTTGATGAAACTCTCAACAAAGAGGGTTTAAAGGGAGAAAAGCTCAACATAATAAAGGTCATATATGGCAAAACCCACAACTAATATCATGCTCCATGGTGAAAAACTGAAAACTTTTTTTTCTAATATCAAGAATAAGACAAGAAACATAATAGTAGAAGTCTAGCTGTATCAATCAGACAAGAAAAAGAAGTAGTAGTCATCCAAATCAAAAGAAAAAATAAAAATGTCACTATTAGCAGATGACATAATATATATAGAAAACCTTGAAGACTCCACCAAAAAACTAATAGAACTAATAAATGATTTCAGTCAATATAGTAAAGTAATACATAGAAATGTGTTATATTTCTATATAGTAATAATGAAGTAGCAGAAACATTAGGAAAACAATACCATTTACTATTAGATCAAAAAGAATAAAATACCTAGGAATATATTTAATCTAGGAGATGAGAGACCTATACTCTGAAAACTATAAGACATTGATGAAAGAAACTGGAGATGACACAAACATATGGAAATATCTATCATGCTTTTGGACTAATATTGTTACAATGTCAATACAACTCAAAGCAATCTACAGATTCAATGCAATGCCTATAAAAATCAACAATAGTATCTTTAACACAATTGGAACAAATAATCCTATAATTGGTATAGAACCACAAAAGACGCCAAATAGCCCAAGTGGCCTTAAGAGAGTAGAAAAAAGCTGGAAGTATCACAATCCCACATTTCAGATATACTACGAAGCCATAGTAATAAAAAGTGTATGGTACAAGCACAACCGTGGACATATAGATCAACAGAACAGAGATCCCAGTCGTAGATCCATATGTATATGGTCGACTAATCTACAACAAAAGAGGCAAGATTATACAATGGGGAAAAGACAGTGTCTTTAATTTTCTTGGAAATACTGGGCAGCTACAATCAAAATAATGAAACTGGACTACTATCTTATACCATATACAAAAATAAATTTCAAATGAATTAAAGACTTCTGTGTAAAACTTAAAACTACAAAATCTAGAAGAAAACACAGGTAGGTAGGTTCTCTGATTGATATTAGCATTATTTAAGGTGAACAGTCTCTTCAGGCAATGACAACAAAAGCTAAAATAAACAAATGGGATTACATTAAAGTGAAAAACTTTGTCGTAGTGAAAGAAACAATCAACAAAACCAAAAGGCAACCTACTCAATGGAAGAAAATACCTGCAAATTACATATCCAATAGTGGATTAATATAAAAAAATATATGAAGAATAAATACAACTCAAAAGAAGAAAAACAAACAATCTGATTTAAAAATGGGTAGGATATCTGAATAGACATTTTTCCAACAAAGACACACAAGATGGTCAATAAGTACATGAAAAGGTGCTCATAATCACTAATCATCAGGGAAATAAAAACCAAGATTAAAGTGAGATAATACCTCACACCTGTTAGAATGGCTATTATCAGAAAGACAAAAAAAGAAATAACGAATCTTGTGGAGTATAGGGAATGCTTGTGCACGGTAGGTGGGATGTAAATTCAGGCAGCCACTATGGAAAGGAGGGTCCTCAAAAAATTAAAAATAGAAATACCATATAATATAGTAATTCCACTTCTGGGTATTTATCTGAAAAAAAGCAAAAACACTAACTGGACAAAATAGATGCATTTCTATATTCACTGCAGGATTATTTACAATATCCAAGATATGGGAGCTGGAAACAAGTGTCCATTGATGGACAAATGATTAAAGAAGGTGTGGGATGTACACACACACACACACACACACACACACACACAAAATGGAATAGTACTCAGTTTTTAAAAAAACCAAAATGCTGCCATTTTTTATAACATGGATTTTGAAAGTATGCTAAGTTAAATAAGTCGAAGACAAATGTCATATGATTACACTTATATGTGAAATCTAAAAAACAAAACAAAGAACAAACAAAATGAAAAAAAGCAATACTCAGATATATTGTACAGAATAGTATTTTCCAGAGAGGGGAAGGGTTGGGAAGGTGGGTAAAATGGGTGGAGTCAAGAGGTATAAACTTTCCATTATAAAATAATAATTCATGAGGAGAGGAGATGCCAGCAGTGGAGTAGGAGGACCCTAGGCTTACCTTGTCCCACAAATACAAATAGATAATTATCATATCATCCTAAAACCCCCAGAAATCGACCTGAAGACTGGCAACACAAACTCTACAACTAAAGGTTGAGAAGAGGCCACATTGAAGAAGGTAAGAAATGTGGAGGCAAGGTTTGGGAGAGAAACAGATTGTGGCCATTGAGGTAGGGAGGTAACCATGGGTGAGGAAAAGGGCAAGAAATGGACTACCATATAGGGGAGCACACAGGGAAGAGGAATCCCCAGAGAAACTGGCTTGGAAAGCAAGAGGGCCCATATTTCATTAGTTCTTGCAACCGGTGGGACTAAAAGCCTGGCGTTTTAAAGGTCAGCATGCTTAGCTCTAAGACAGCTCGGAGGACATTGGGACTGCTCTTGGAGAAAAGGGAGGGCAAACAGCCTACAGACATACAGCATAGAAACAGCAATCTGAAGAGTACCTGGGACACAGAGTGGGGAGGTTAGTTGCTCATTTCAGAGTACATCCCAGAGAGGCAGTGTTCACAGAGAGACCTCTCCAGGAGTAAAGAACTGGCAGATGTTATTTCCCTCCCCTGCCCCTCAGCATAAGCACAGGGCCTCCTGCAAGAAGTTGCACAGTGCCAACACTCACTACTTAGCTTTCTTACATCAAGCCCCAACCTTGCACACTGGAAGCACCACCTTCCCAGTCATGCTTGCCTCAGTTCCAGTGAGTCAGGCTTTCTCTCCCAGAAAATCAGCCCCAAACCCTGCCAATACTGAATCTCTTGACCAGGGAGTTTTGAGAAGCCTTGGTTCTGGGGGCAGCAGTGACAGGTCTCATTTCATAAGCAGACCATAGCACAACTAGTTAAAACTTGCCACATTCAAGACAGGGGCCCCACAATTCCCACAACTGGCAAAGAGAGCCTCTTCAGATGGCTGGCCTGAAGGATAAAATGGCCAGGACACAATAACAGAGTACAAGCAGCACACACTGGACACTCCTGGAAGCGCCAGGCCCTGGGGAGAGGGGGACACTACATTGAGGGCACTACAGGAC